TTCAATGAGACCGAAAATCGTCTTGACAAACTTGTACAAAAGATCCCAGAATTTGTAAGGAAATGCCAATCGTTTTGCGACACTTCAAAAGATATTAATGCACATCGAAGATTAAATAGCTTAACACTAACGCGAAATGCAGAACTACTTGAAATTCTCGAGATGCCCCAATTAATGGAATCGTGTCTGAGAAGCAACCAATATAACGAAGCATTGGAATTGTCTCAATATGCTCGTCAATTGGGAATGAAGCATGGGGATATTCCTATTATCTCGGTACAACCTTTCGTAATGTTTTCTCATGTTTTCTTTAGTACCATATTTGTTTTATTTTACTTTTATTTTATTTTTAATATTTTAGTCTATAGTAGCAGAGATCGAAAGCAGCTGGTCAGGTATGGTAGGACAAGTAGTTGGCTCTCTGAGAGGAGATTTACCGCTTCCAAGATGTCTTCAACTTGTCGGTTTGTTGCGGTCTATGGATGCATTTACAGAATCAGAACTTCGTATAAAATTCCTTCAAGCGAGAGATAGCTGGCTCCAAGGCTTGCTGAATGCAATACCAAAGGAAGATCGTAAGAGACCTTTTTATTTAAATTATAATATAATACGAAAGTTAAATTGATTAAACTGATAAGAAAATTACATTTTACTATGTATTGCAGCTAATCTTCATATGACCAAAACAATAGAATTATCCAGGATACATTTATTCAATATAATAACTCAGTACAAAGCTATGTTTAACGATGATGAATTAGTAATTCCCGGCCGCGACTTGACATTAAATGAATCTGCGATATTTTATCATTGGTTGGAGGAAAAGGTAGATTTATGTAACAGACGCATGTATAACGTAAACGGAAATGTGATTGAACTTTTTCTTTTTCTAGATAACACAATTTCTTGCTACACTAGAGCAAGACTTACCAGGCGTAACGTCTATAGATACCATTTTGGGTCAGTGTACATACTTTGGATTATCATTTGGTCGAGTGGGTGTCGATTTCACTGGTCGAATGTCGGATATATTTGTACGAATTATCGGTGAAAGGTTTGAACAGAACATTCGTAGAACAACTCGAAAGTTTGAAAAAGATATGGAAACATTTACGTTGATTAACAAAACGCAACGACTTGATGTAAAAATAGAGACTTGTATTCATTCTGTAAGTATAAAATAATATCATTTAAAGTTTACATTAATTTACCATTGTAAACTGTTGTTAAAGGAAAATCCGCCTGAACAACTGGCAGAATTTTATCCTCTGGCCGAATACTGCAATGGGATAATAACTGCATTCAATGAATTGAGACTCTGTGCACCGGTGGCACTCTCCACTTTATGCACAAAATTGCTACAAGAGTCATTGCATAATGTGGCAAGGGCTATGCTGGTATTTTACAAGCAAGAACAGCAAGTAAGTTTGCATTGTCATGTAATTTTTATTCACAAGTAAATCTTCTATATTTTATCAAATTATATGTCGTAGGCATTTGCTGCCGCAGAACGAGAAAACATGATTAAGTTTACAGAATGTTTAAGCGAACAATTAATACCTTATATACAGTATTGTATACATGCAATTTTTCCACCTGCCCAAATTGCATCTCATTTAGGAATATCAGTCAGTATATTGCAGAAAGAGGTATGAATCCTTAAACGACATAAGGCGATACATATATATATATATATATATATATAAAAACATATATATATATATATAATGTGTGTGTGTGTGTGTATGTAATGACATAAAATAAATTATAGGAGATCACATATTTAAATAAGCGGATTGTAATAGAACCTGTGGCTATACTGTTACCTATTAGAAAAGATTGTTTGGCTTCCAAATCATGTACATCTAATATACAGCCATTAATATCACATAATGTAAGGAATTCTTCTATCATAACGTCTCTACCAATAGAAACGATAGATTCAAATTTGAGGAAGACTACAATGACAGAAAAATCAAAAGAAAACGAAACTATTCAACAAGGAACGATATAAAAGTGTGATATGCAAAATTCGCAGAATTTTAGCGATGATGTAAAGAGTATTGTATAATATACTTGATGTAAGGACATAAAGTATTTAATTATGTTGGATACTTGCTTACTATTCTATATACATATATGTATATATCTCGAGGTAATGTAAATAAAAGATTTTTACGATTATCAGGGCGCACTTGTCTTTATTTTTTGAAAATGCGTAGAGGAGATAAAAATTTGACAAACAGCGAAAGTGCAAAATAATTGAATCTTAAAGTAAATATAAAGCAATTAGGCTTCAATAGATATCGAAAATATTTATTCTTTCATACACTCTTCCGTAACTTGACTCGGCTGCCCGGTTTCATTCTCATTTTTCTTCTTTTTACTTCCAGAAACAATGTCGTCTATTCTCAATAACAGAATAGCAGTCTCGATCGCCGTTTTATATGTTTGCAATTTTACAGACAATGGTTCCCATATACCGCGTTCCTTCATATCAACCAATTTTCCCGTTTCTCCATCAATGCCCCAAGTAGTTCCTTCTGTTGCATGTTTAGCGCGCAACGCCGTTAAAGTCCTGATAGTATTTGCGCCACAATTCTGCGCTAGTGTCCTGGGAATGATCTCCAAGGCTTGTGCGATCGCTTTGTATGGCCATTGTTCCACACCTGCAAGTCCTGCCGCCTTTTCTGTTAAAAGCCGGGATACTGCCATTTCCACTGCTCCACCACCTATCGAGAGGGAGGAGGGAGAAGAAAACATAAAATGTTTAATAAATCATTTTGACAAACAATTAATCTTACGCACCTGGTACGAGCTTTGGATCGACAAGAAGATTTCTGGCGACATGCAACGCATCTTGCAAATTTCTCTCAGTCTCATTCAAGATATCTTTGCTAGCACCTCTCAGAATGATTGTACAAGCTTTAGGATCTTTGCATTCTGTGATAAAACAGAAATAATCGTCACCGAGTTTCTTGATTTCAAAAAGACCAGCACCTGTCCCAACATCCTCTTCCTTGAGTTCTTCGGTGCGATTGACGACAGTAGCACCACAAGCGCGAGCAATTCTGTTAATATCACTCTTTCGTAACCTGCGTATCGCAGATATGCCGGCTTTCACGAGGTAATGCTGAGCAAGATCCGATACGCCTTTCTCTGTTATCACGACATCCGGTTTCACTGAAATAACATCCTCGCACACCTTCTTTACATACTCCTCCTCTAGTTCCAAAATTTTTGTGAAATCAACATCCTTCATTATCTCTATATTCGTCTGAGATTCGCCCTTCTTATATTCCAATGGACAATCTAACAGTACTATTCTCGGATCTTTGATGTAACGTCTCATTTTTGGATGTGTCACATCCTTATTGATCATCACACCCTTGAGAACAGTACTGTCCTCTATTGTGCCACCGGGTATCTTCTCTACCTTGGCATAACGTTTAATGTCGATCTCTCTTCTGCCATTCTCCTCGAGCATCACGGTATGAACAGCGTCCAAAGCGATTTGACAGGCTAATTCAGACCAACGTCTGATAAATTTAGTACCTGTACATGAGTTTATCACTTGGACCAATTTACTTTTGTCACTGCAGTCTAAATCAATGCTGACTTGTTCATTGAGAATCGTGACCATATCTTCTAAAGCCTGACGATACGCTCTTATGATGACAGTAGGATGCATGTTCTGTTCTAAGAATGGTTCGGCGGTAGCCAAGATCTCGCCTGACAGAACAATCACCGAAGTTGTACCATCCCCTACCTCTTCATCCTGAGTCCTAGCAATTTCTATCATGGACTTTCCAGCAGGATGCTGAACAGTGATCTCGCGCAAAATCGCATTACCATCATTTGTCATTACGATGCCACCCATTGGATCCATCAGCATCTTCAACATGGCTTGAGGACCCAAACATGTTCTAATGACGTCGGCAATTGCCTACATATATATATAAAAACAAGAAAAATTTGTTACATTGATCCAATATATTTGAAAGTTACACCAATTTAATTATAATTGAATTTATAGATTGCTCATAGGAAAAATAATTTTTTTTTATCAAATTAATTTGCATTTGGTTTATGAGTTATCATAAATTTAAGTTGATACGCGATATGAAAATCAATGCGAATAGACAATACTCAAACTGATTTAGAATCTTTTGTGACTTCAGAAAGTCACACGTGGGCGTGTACCTCACGAAAATTGCGAGGAATGCCTTATAAGGAATGCGACACACACATACACACACACACACAAACACAGACATACGCTTTCACCTTGCCCGCCTGGATATTCTCTCTCTGTACTTTTCTACCGGTGTCGCGCTTCGTGTTCTGACCTGCAATAATTAAAATGTTCGACATGGTTAGATTGCGACAGATACACGCGAGTTGCTAAACTACTCTTAAACAAACGACAGACGAAAGATCGACTTGAACTTACTGAGAACTACAATTGGTGCCGAACCTGGTCCAAACATTGTATTTTTTCTTTATTGTTGTTTTTTTCTTTGTCACTACACCGATTGATGTATAATATAAACTTTTCCTGATAAGGACGAGGAACAAGGCTGACGGTTAATTACTACACAAAGGCTAAAAATGTGAAGCTATGAGAGAACTACAACTATCAAGCAAGAAACGCAAAGTTCCAAACATGAATAACAAACGATTGATAGAGTTGCAATTATGAGAATGCTGCACCGATAAAACAGTCGACAGTGAATGATGGTACAGTGCAATGACTGTACCTCTGCAACAGACGGTAACGGATGATAAACACTTATACAGGGTGAATCAGAGTTGTTGAACCAACTTTTTATCCTATGAGAAAATTATCGATTTTGAATTACCTAATTTTATCTAATTGAATTATAAATACAGTTAATTATTTTCTCATTAATTATTATGCCCGTTTTTACCAATGTAGTTTAACTTTAATCTCGGTTCAAATAACTCTTTGTCTTTTTCTAGAGTAAGAAAAAGCTAAAGAATAAATTGAACCAAGATTAAAGTTAATCTGCGTTGGTGGAAACGGGCCATAGAGTAAAAAGCTGGTTCAATGACTCTAATTCATCCTATATACCACTGCAATGATATATGTAAGTAGTTTTGTCCCTCAAGTTCAGAGGCGCTAGTGTCTAATTTTTAATATGGCGATACCTCTATTTTATCTCAAATTTCGGTTTGGATGCTCTCAGTACTTCTATCCTTGTTTCATATCTAATGAACGATAAAGATAGAATGATGATTATAAAGCGCATGACCAAATCAAATGGATGCAGCCTCAGTAGTACGATATTCAATTGATATAAATCGACGATATAAGTTTCATATTGATTGGATCAGATGGTGCACTACGTGCAGCATGAAACGAGTTTAGTTTTCGTCCATCAGTAATACATATATATATATATATATATATATACATATATATATATATTCACAATACTTAGATGCATTGGTTAATTATGTACATAGGTATTTGTATTTATAAAATTGATGCCTAATCAATATGAATCGCAACAGTATGAAGTAGTGTGGACGTGATCGTAGTCTTGAAGATGGATACATGATCGATTTTTGAATATAATTCATGAATTAATACGATGGAGAATACGAACGATAAATTTTTTTATGTCTATAGTTCTTCATTAGATACCAGAATACAAGTCAAGATGTAAGTATATCTCACATCTGTATTACTGTATCGTGTAACCGAACTGAGTTCGTCACATGATAAAAGTATCTTATGACATTCTGTCCGTATGATGAAAGACTTTCATTAATTATACTAGCGTGAAATAATCGGATTAGAGTAATTAACATACATAAGGACATGTTGAAACATTCGGTCATTATCTCTAATGTAGATTGCATACGTCAATTGGCAATGGTCTTTTTAGACATATGTCACAGATGTTCTATCTGTTATTTTATACAGAGGTACATTAGAGGGCAAAAGACATAGACCGGAATACGACGAGCTACTTTTAGATCCTTTACTCAAATATTCGGGTTTGTACGAGAGTGGTGGGATTCGTGGAGATCTAGCTGCATCTTTGCAGGTATGGGCTGGTGGTAGACCTTTGGCCCTACCTGTACATACAACCTACAAACACTTTACTACACGCTGGAAGTATGTTGCATTTGTACTATACCATCTCTACTCGAGTATCAATATCTTTTATTTTGTATATATATATATATATATATCATTGAGACGATGTATTTTTTACATCCAGCTGGAATCAATGGGTCTATCTACCAATTTCCTATACGGATTTGCCACGTGACGCCCAGCTGTGTATAACCTTATATGACTGTGCAGGACCTGGTAGACAGCTTCCAGTAGGTGGTACGACTATATCATTATTTGGTAAGCATGGAGTGTATCGACAGGGCATGCTCGATCTTAGAGTATGGCCTGGGATAGAAGCCGATGGTAGTGTTCCAACTAGTACTCCAGGGAAAGCCAGAGATCATGGGAAAGAACAGATGCAGCGGCTTGCAAAGCTGGTTAAAAAGCATAGAAACGGGCAAATAAACAAAATTGATTGGCTGGATAGATTAACTTTCAGAGAGATTGAATTAATCAATGAAAGGGAAAAAAGAGCATCGGAATACTTGTACTTGATGATAGAATTTCCAGAAGTAACGATGGACGGTGTACCGGTACGTGAAATTGTAAACATATATATATATAATTTTTTTATGCGTATAAAGATAAATTAATAATAATACATTCATTTTATTCTATTGCAGTATTCAATTGTATATTATGAAAAAGATGGCGATGAGGTTTTTCAACATAGATTACAGCCAGACGTTGTGACACTTCCTGATTATGAAATTTTACAAGTAAGATTTTACAAAAGAAAATGGCGATATACGTACCTCCAATTGTCAATTATATTTTGAGAATATAAAGATAAAATTTTTGTTCAGGAGAATCTTGTGGAAGCAAAACATCATAAATTGGCGCGCAGTTTACGTAGCGGCGGCAATACTCGCGAATTAAAACCTACCTCGACTGTACGGGATGCCTTGAATACGATATTGGGATATCCCCCGACAACCGCACTTACTACTGAGGAACAAGATTTAATTTGGAAATATAGATTTTACTTGTCTAGTCAGAAGAAAGCGTTGACCAAGTTTGTTAAGTGCGTTAACTGGAAAGTTGCCGGTGAGGAACGCCAGGCTCTGGAAATGCTAGCTTTATGGGCTCCACCGGATTCCGAGGATGCTTTAGAATTATTAGGACCTGCATTTACTCATCCGGCTATTAGAAGATATGCGATTAGCAGGCTTAATCAAGCTCCTGACGATGATTTAATGTTGTACTTGTTGCAACTAGTACAAGCGTTAAAGTATGAAGATTTTGAAAGCATTAAGATTGCTTATCAAGCGATGTTGAAGGAGAAAGAAGAAAGAGTAGAATCAAAAAATTGGAGCACTGAAAAACTTGAGAAAAGCGAAAGATTGGAAAGAACGGAGAAACTAGAGAAAACTGACAAATTAGAGAAAGACATAAGAAGCAGCGATTCTACATCTACCCCGATTACAACTGTGAGTCAATAACTCTCTTTAGAATATATGTGTGCATTACATTGTTATTCATTTCGTTCTATGTATAATTGGTTTTACATTTATTTACCTTTACAGTCTAGTGAATCAGAGAGTCAACTATCAACGAGCCAAGAACCGCTTATGGATCTAGCATCGTTTTTAATTACTCGCGCTTGTCAGAATTCAATGCTGGCTAATTATTTCTATTGGTATCTCTCTATCGAATGCGAGGATCAGACTGATCCTGCGATAAGCGCTAAGCAAGATACGCGAGTTAGGGAAATGTACGTTACCGTAATGAAAATGTTTTCCATGATGTTAGCGCAGGGGAATACCATCTGGCAAAAAAGAAGAGCATTCCTCTTACGACAGAAAGTGTTCATCGATCAATTGGTATTTCTGGTAAAAGCGGTGGCGCGAGAAAGTGGAAATCGGAAGAAAAAAACTGATCGATTGAGAACGTTACTCACTGATCCAGATCCGGCGTTCAAGATTAATTTCTCGAATTTCGAGCCGATACCTTTCCCTTTGGATCCTGAAATTTGTATCAAGGGAATTATGCCGGAAAAGTACATATTTAAATTGTTTGACTATAGCGATATATTACTATGTTCAAATGTGTGTGTGTGTGTGTGTGTGTGTGTGTGTGTGTGTGTGTGTGTGTGTGTGTGTGTGTGTGTGTGTACACAGGGTGAATCAGTCGTTGAACCAACTTTTTACCCTATGAGAAAATTATCGACTTCATATCTATTGGATTATAACGTGCGTGCAGTCGATAATTTTCTCATAGACTGGTAAACGGCTGGTTCAACGATTCTGGTTTACCTTCTATATATATTACAATTGTAATATTTACTTTATTAATTTTATAGAGCAAGTCTTTTCAAGTCTGCGCTCATGCCATCGAAACTCACATTTTTGACGACAGATAATACCGAATATATTGCCATCTTTAAACATGGAGATGATTTACGACAAGATCAATTAATTTTACAAACAATAGCGCTTATGGATAAATTATTAAGAAGGGAGAATTTGGATTTGAAACTAACTCCGTATAGGTAAAAACTTGTTGTTAAATAAGTAATATTACGTAAGATTATTAATAACTAATTGACTTAATCACATTATTCAGAGTACTCGCAACAAGTACCAAGCATGGTTTTGTACAGTTTATCGAATCTACAACGGTTGCGGAAGTTTTAGCTAGCGAAGGCTCAATATTGAATTTCTTTCGGAAGCACCATCCTTCTGAAACTGGACCTTACGGGGTAGTACCTGAAGTCATGGACACCTACGTTCGCAGTTGTGGTAAGTATCATTCATGCAACTTTACGAAAAATGAATGAATGTACATTATTTAAATGTTACTCATTAAAATTATGCAGCTGGTTATTGTATAATTACGTATGTATTGGGTGTCGGCGATCGTCACTTGGATAATCTGCTTCTCACAGCATCAGGTATGTATGTTCTTCAACGATTTTGTTAGAGAGATTGTCTCTAACAAATAAATATAGCAAGTATGCAATATTTTTTAATTCACAGGCAAACTCTTTCACATCGATTTTGGCTACATTTTGGGTAGAGATCCAAAACCTTTGCCCCCTCCAATGAAGCTCAGTAAGGAAATGGTCGAAGCTATGGGCGGAATCGGTTCCGAACATTATCATGAATTCCGAAAGCAATGTTACACGGCATTCCTACATTTGCGTAGACATGCCAATCTGATATTGAATCTGTTCTCGCTGATGGTAGACGCCAGTGTGCCCGATATCGCCTTGGAACCGGATAAAGCTGTGAAAAAGGTCCAAGATAAATTGCGATTAGATTTGAGCGATGAAGAGGCTGTGCATTATGTGCACACTCTTTTAGATTTGTCGGTCACCGCGGTGATGGCTGTACTAGTAGAACAACTCCACAAATTTGCGCAATATTGGAGAAAGTAATAAGACGAAATCAATGTACAGTAAAATCATACAAATTGTGTTCCTTTCTAAAACGATAGATTATGTATTGTTATATTGTATATAAAATGACCACAGTGTGTTTATAACATATTAATATAATTTATTGTATTTTGGGAGTATTTTAGGTAATAAAAATCTTTGATATGAATGATTTTCTCTTGCTCGATATATTTTTCCAACGAATTCGATAATGATTTGGTATCTTTGTGAGCACTTTGAACTTGACTGCGTATAATTATTACGTTCAAATGTACATACAATATAATTACGAAATGTAGATGAATTTACAAAAAAACTATATATGTACACACACACACACACACATACACACACACACACACACACGCGCGCGCGCACACATATATACACACACAAAATATAAAAACTTGTTTCATCAAAATTTTAATGAACGTGCCTAAATCATAAACATGCTATTTTTTGTACTATCACGAAATGTAGCTTACCTACCGTGATAAGATGTCAGTGGCGGAAAAGCAACAAAACATATTCATTGCACGTGTAATCAGTTATGTAAATACTCGTATATTTATTTTATTTTTAATTACAAGTGTATGTGGTGCACACAATAGAAATAAATGTAAATAGATAATATTGTTAGTGTTGAAAATATCAGATTGTTATCGACATGTGAAACGCAGAGGAGAGCTACTTAACTCGTATCACTTTATACTATTTATGAATTTAATAAAATCAACAAATACATATACATATTTTATCTTATACATCAGATAGGTTTTTTTTCGTTTTTTAATAGAAAAAAATGTAGCTTTAATTTCCCATTTTGCAGCGTATTATATGTTTCTGTAAATATACACGATTTTCATATAATTTTTTTGATACATACGTACATATGTATATACATACATATCAAAAAAGAATTTAAAGTTAATTATAGAACATTAACAATTCAGTCCGTTCTTGAAGATTTTTCTCAGATTTTTTTCTTACATATTGCGATATCATATCGAGCTATGTTTGACATGAGAATACACATATTTTTTATCTCCAATATCAACACAATATGTACACGCGTGACCATAATTAAAAATGCCACGAGAAATAAAAACATTGATTTATTTTTGATATAACGTGAGACTATAATAAAGAATATAATTTTTCTTATGACATTTTGGTAAATCTGCCTTGCTTGAGGATTGCGCAGTAAAAATCCTCAAAAACCGTTTCCAGTATATTTTGCAATTACAATTTCTTCGCGTTTATGAACATTCTTCAGGCTAACTTAGGCACATCTCAAACACGACAGATTTTGTAACAATTAAAATCTTTACTCGCTCTCTTCACTTCAATCATCTCATCAACATACAAGGTACACTTTATATAAGTTGAAATAAGCACATTTTTATTTCCTATATATATATATATATATATACA